CTTCTTTGAGATGGATATGTTTTTAAAAAATGCACCAAATACAAATAAGATTGGCAAAAATAATTTCAGTTAAACCTTGTGATACCTGTTTTTATAAATGTTTCTTAAAGAGATCTTAATTTATGTTACATATCTTAACTACATTTGCTTTAGCTTTGATTTTTATATTCTCTTTTTGTTAAAGATTAAGGATTTTTCAGTGTTTTCATTATTATAAGTATCTGGGAATTTAAAAAAAATTAAAAACATTTTGCAAATATTTTAATTAATACATTTTTCTTGCTTTCTGTCAGGTGATGAAGGTGGCTATTTTGGCTGAAAAGTATGCATCAGATTACACTTGGTATGTGGATGTGATTTTGAACCTGATTCGCATTGCTGGAGATTATGTCAGTGATGAAGTAAGTAGGAGTAATGTAAGCTTATTACACTGGATAGGTTTTAGTGTGATAATATTAACTCTTAAGCTACTTGAGAACCTTTGCTTAACCCTTTCCACTCATATTATCTCATGTTATTACAGAGACAAGACAATGATATCAAGCTTTGAACAATTCTGTCTGATCTCTCCCTTGAAATTACCTACGTGTCTTCTTTTTATATTTGGAGATGCAAAAATGATGATTTGGCATATTGTAAATTGAAATTGTTATGATAATTAAATCACTATGTGTTCTTATAATTCTGGAACCATTCTAAAGTCCTTTCACGGAGTATATAGTAATGAAAATACTGTAATTTTTTTTTATGACCAGTGTCTATTCTTGCATTTGTAATTGTACTGATTTAAAGCATACATATTTTATTTTGACAGGTATGGTACAGAGTAATACAGATAGTTATTAACCGTGAAGACGTTCAAGGTTATGCAGCTAAAACAGTGTTTGAGGTAAGTTAGATGAGATGCTCCATGATTTTACAAAAATAGAGTTCTCCAGTCATACCTGGGGTATTCCTTACTTTCAGCATGTTTTTGCTCCTCCACTGAAATTACAGCTTCAATAATATATTTATAGATAGACTAGCCTGACTAAAATGTAACTAGCTTTTTAATTAGCAAACTGTTTTTAAAGAACAAACCTGATTGATCATTAGCCTGTAAAAACTTGTAAGAAATCGTTAACATTTAATGATTTTACAGTTGCTTAAAGCATTTCAGTACACTTACTTGAAAAAGATTTTGTTCCCCTAGAATTAGTGATTTCTTTATTGATTGTATATTTTAGATAAATGCATTAATATAATACTTTTAAATGTTTCAATGACAAAGTTCTGTCTTTAAATTTTGAAAATAATATGAAACCTATATTCTCATTGTAAAATATATCTGAACTCTGCATGTCTGTAAACTCTTTATACAAGTTTTCACAGTTCATTCCTCAGCTTAACTGGTTATCTTCCCATACAAAGGATTAATAGCAGTTTACAAGAACACAATTACAGATTTCATGCTGTCCTTGCAAATACATTTTCAGTCAAGTCATAATTTTATGCTGCTGTCATTGTATAAATTCCTTTGGAGCTACTTGAGGGGATTTAACAGATATGTGTTCAACTGGGATTACTGTGAATCCAGTTTCTTTAGCCATCTTTCTTGTAAAGCAGCTGTTGACTTCTAGATGTCCCTGGGAGCTTGTGAAATTTGGCTTGTATGCCTTTGTGAATTTCAATTCTATGTTTATCATCTTGTTAACAATATCAGAAGTATGCCCAGCTTCATGGTGATAGCTTTTTGAATCAGAAGAATCTCATTTATAACAGGACCCTTTTCATTTTCCTGTAATAAAATAAAAGTGTCAGGTACATATGTATGTTTCAAAGATTTACAAAGGTATAGAGTCATCACAGTCATTTTTTCTCTCAAGGATGCATAGAGAGATTAACCATTGAGGGTGCCTTTTGGTCCTCATGACTAGCCCTTCTAAATGACAGGACATGTATAAGACATCATAATCCATACTTGTCTGTTTAATATAACCTGTTTTATAAAGCATAAAAAATCTTATTATTGATTGTTTATGTTATAAAGGTGTTTAAGTGCTTTATATTTTCTAACACATTAGAGAAACTTGTTGATGATGTTCAGAAGAAGATAGTTGTATGTTTCTTGTATCATGATGTCTTCATATGGTTGTTTTGGTTTGTGGTGCATGTTCTGGTGACTGACATTAACAGTTGAATATGTTCAATCCTTAAAGGGTTTTTTCTTTGTTTTAAAAATGTTAAGGTAATCAGATATCTCCCATCATTTTATTATATGTCATTGCAAATGTAAATTACTTTGAAGGGATTTTTGTATATAATTCAGAATGTAACTAGACAAATTAATAAATATGTTTTCATTACCACACCCTCTTAATAATTTCAGATTTCTGATGTACTTGTGTCTGTTAGAAAAGAATCTTATGACACTTGTTACAACTCGACTTTTAATATGTAAAAGTCCATCTTACCAACACATTGTTGTAAAGAAAACATTGAGCCCGACATGGCCAGGTGGATAAGGCGCTCGACTCACAATCTGAGGGTCGCGGGTTCGAATCCGCATCCAACCAAACAT